CAGAAGTTACAGGAGGCCAAGGCTCAATTTGGGCTGTAGCGCCATTGGAAGAAGAAGAAGAAGTTCTCTATTTGGTCTCAAAGATCAGAAGCATTAAATAATTTCCTGACGCACGCAAATCAACAATAAAGAAGAATTAATCAAATTAGCTATGAAGCAAGAAAACAATAATTCACTTCCTTTTATGGATGTACTAGTTACCAAAAATAGGAATAACAAGATATGCGAACAAAATCTACAGAAAACCAACCCACACTAATAGATATGTAAATTACCCCTCAAATCACAACATAACATCAAAAAAGTAATTACCAAATCCTAATATTTCAGAAGGAAAACAATCTGCTAACAAAGGTTTTCACTAAAAATGACTACCCCTTGTCATTTGTAAACGAGGAATTCCACAAGATTGAAAAAAGAAAACAACAAAACACCATAAGCAATCCAGAAACATTTTACAAGAAGGGACCCAAAGATGACAATAATACCATATATGTAAAGAACTTATCAGAAAAATTAAACAGGGTAGGAAACAAGTACATCACAACATTCAAAACAACCAACACACTGAGATATATTTTGTCTAAAACCAAACCCAACAATACACAAAAAAAGATACAAAAACTGCATCTATAAAATACCCTGTGAATAGAACAATGTCTACGTGGGGAGAAACCGCAAGACCACTAAGTATCACGATAAACGAGCATGAAACATATATCCATAACAGAGACTTCGACAAATCCCAGATATGCAAATATACCTGGGACAACGAGCGAAGAGTACAGTGGAAAGATGCATTAATAATCATGCAAGAAACAGATATGAAAAAGAAAAAAAGTTAAAGAACCAGCTCATATCCTACCTAACGAAGAAAAATGTGTAACAAACCAATATAACCAATATAACAAAAGTCAATAACAAGAATATACCAACAAAAGCGGAGTAATTTAAAGTCGGAGAAATATCACCTGCAAGGTTATATAATTAAAAGTGTAAATAAAATATAAGGATTAATTCCAAGAATATGCATATACTTACACTTACGGACTTATTGACTATTACTATTACGGACCCATTTATCCTTATTTACTAAGAAGTATAAAACGTTTTTTAGTATTGTTTGAGATATATGTATACCTAATTAAGAATTTAGATTGAAGCTGTAAGATGAAGGCTTCGCGATCACCTTCTTCTTCTTAGGGTGACTATCCATTCCGAACGTTGGCGATCATTCTGGCTATGATGGCTTTGTTGGTTGCTATACGGAAGAGCTGTGTTGAGGTCTTTCTATACCATGCTTTCAGGTTAGCAAGCCAGGATATTCTTTTTCGTCCTGGGGCCTTTTTCCTTCAATTTTACGCAAATGCATTGGAGTAGCTCATTGATTTCTCATTATATGTCCCAAGTACTCCAGCTTACAGCCCTTCACGATGTTGACCAAATCCGCGGTTGTATTCATCCTCCGCGGTACTTCTTCTTTGGTGACTTTGTCGGTCCATAGTATGCTTCTGTATAACCATAGCTCAAAAGCCTGAAGTTTTGATAGAGTTTTCACCTTCAATGTCCACATTTCTACTCTCTACAGAAGCACTGAGTACACGTAACATTTAAGGAGCCTTATTTTTGTTTCTAGGGTGAGATCGTGGATCTTGAACACAGAGCTCATAGTCAGGAATGTACTTTTTGCCTTTCCGATTTAATCTCTTATGTATTGTCCCACGACTGATTGTAGTTCCGAAGTAGTTGTTCATAAAGGTTTAACTGGACAATTTAAATATTTATTTTCCAAACATAATATAAAAATAGCACATCAAGAATATAACCTTACTAATAAATATTTTAGCAAACTTAAAACTAAAACACTGCTATGGAACAAACACATAATCTATGAAATTCCATGTAAAGGCTGTCAAGAATTTATATTGGTCAAACAAGCCAGCACCCACATTGTAGATTAAATGCACATAAATATGATAAAAAACAGAATATGAACCTCCTTACCAATAATAAAAAAACAACAAGATCACACTTGTTATTTAAAGGTTTTTAACACTTCTTGTTTTTCGTCAAGGGACTTTTTCTTTATGGAATTAATCTCATGAAACTGTCGTAACAATATATTTCAATTTAAAAGTAACTTTCTACAAACACAAACCACAGGAAATAACATATTCAAATATATTTTACTTTCTTTAAATATTGTAAAAGGGAAAATCTTGATAACCACAATATCTAATAAGTAAAACTATGCTTCCCATCCTTATGCAATTCTTAAAGCCATAAATATCTCAACAAAATGAAACGGATCTTTGAAGAATCGCATAAATCATTTAATATGTTTGGTGGTAAAATTTTTACGCCTATTGTTTTATTTTTTACAAGAATAAAAATATGTCTTAATAATTTTAATTACAAACGCTAAAAAAATTACTTCTCACGAATGCAAAGAAGATTGATTGTTTTTATTCATTAGAGATGTTTTACTGTATTGCAGATTCTCTTAGATTGTGAAATTAGTTTTAACTTGATTATTTTTAGTTTAATGAGATTATTGATACAGCTACTGTTGGAACCATGGTTCTTTAGAAGTTTAGAACTTTAGAAATAAGGCGATAAAAAAACTCGTCTCTTTTGAAATTGCAAATCCAGCTTCCTTTCTAACTAGCAACTATAATATTAGTAAAAAAAGGTATTTCTTCAATAGTTTTGAGGTCTTTGAGTGACATACCCAACATTACTCTTTCCATTACTCTCTGAGTTTTTCTTATATTCTCCATTTTTGTTTTAGTAAATGACCGATAAAAGGTCCGATTCTCTGTGAAAAAAGGAAGGGTACACGAATTGAACACTTTGATTTTAGGTCAGGGATATTATTATCTTTTAGTATAGACGAAAGTCTATGAAATTCCATGTAAAGGCTCTCAAGGAGGTTATGTTGGTCAAACAAGTCAGCAACTACATTGTAGATTAAATTCACACAAATATGATAAACAGAATAAGACAGCCCTTACCAAATATGAAAAACAACAAGATCACACTTGCTATTCAATATTTTAATGAAAAACTTTTTACCAAACAACAAAAAAAATGTTTAATTTATTAAAGTTTTTTATTTTGAGAACGATTTCTTAAGTGGAAATCGAAACATCAAACAAACTTAATTTTAAAAATGGTTTATTCCCTGCAAAGTATGATTTCTAATTTCCAGTCCTCTGGAATGACTTCTAGTATCCATATGTGACAAAATAATGTTTTGATGTTCTGCATTGTGGTACATTACTTCGTCTCCTTGTTCTTGTTATTTTTATTAGAATTTAGAAGCTCTTAAAATCAACTTTTCCACCTTTTCAGAATTTCTAATTTCTCACGGATGATTTCTCCTTTTTTGACTTTGCCAATTGTTGTTCTCGGAATGCATCCTTGTGTTTGTCGTTTGCTTTCTTTTTAAAATGTGCTTGTTTCTTTTCTGTTGTTGTAGTCTTTTATTTCCTGTATTAACATTTCACCTTTTTCCTTTCTGCATAGTCTCATCGCATGGCTTCTCTTTTTTTCGTAATGCTCTCCTATTTAATCGAGAGTTTCTTTGCAAAACATGTTTTCTCTTGTAACTGTGTTTTTGTTATTTATTGCATATTGGCATACTTGGACAAATCATTATTCGTTACTTTTTCTTGTATTTCTTCTAGTGTTTCACTCATCTTCGATGCTATTTTGTTCACCTCTTTGCTGGTTCTCATTCTTCTTTTTCTGATTTTTATTCTGTTTGTTTGGCGCCATTCTGCTTTCTTACCATTGCTATTCTTTGTTTTTTTGTTCTATCTGTTATTGAGGTAATCGATATTTTAGATATTAGTTTAAAAATATATTTGATTAAATTCATTTATTCTATTTGATTAAATTTATTGGTACCAGGTATTGTACGTGTATGTAATCTTATGAATATTCTTGTGTGAGAAATATCTAGGTACTTGCTACTTTAAGTTGATTTGTCATTTGTGCTAATCTATACCGTTATTTCTGGTAGTATCGTGTATATTATGTTTACCAACGGCTTCTGCATACGTTGGTTCTTTTTCCAATTTGGTATTTGCATCTCCCATAACTGTAACTTAATCTTCATTTTTTTTATCTTTTTACATTCAATGTGGAGTTCGTTATCGAATTGATAGGTCCCAACTTCCTCTGCTGCTTCTGTTGGAGCATGAATGTTAATAATTGAGAAATGTTGTAAAATTTACCCTTTTGCGGTATTTTACATATTCTTTTATCGACAGGAGTAAAACGTATTATCGACTTGCGGTATTTATCGTACCCAGAAAAGCTACTTCATAGTTTCCTGGTCTTTCCGCTCCGTTATACTACAGACTATATTCTTTTATTTTAGTTATGTCTATGATATTTTAATACGATCTTCTGAAAAACTTGGTACTCTGTAGTGCATGTGCTATACTTTGAATTTTGTCTGCCTATAGCATGATTCTGATATTCTACCGACTTTTAACCTTAATCTCGAATCCTTATTCCGTAGTTTTAGTTGTTGTCCGTTAAGCTATGTAGTTTCTACATTGTTTATAGCATTCATAATGGATATGGTTAAGGCTAACAGAATATTATGATGTTGCACCCGAGTCCAGTGACTGGTCTGCCGGCTATAGCTTCTGGGTCAGTTTCTTCCGGATGTGGTAGCAACTCGCTTGTTTCTATAAAGGTGTACCGGGTAGTTCTAGCTAGCACTCGAGCAGATCAGGTTGTCATTTGGGTTGTGATGTTCTGTTTAACCACATACCCCAAAATAAAGAAATATAATTTTTGCATTAAAAAACGAAAACTAAATGTTATCAAATAAAATATGTTAAAGTTAATTATAATTTAGAAATTAAGTAATATTATTTTTTCTTAGATGTCATTATCAACATTGTATGATTGTAGTGTAGTATGTTTTTAAAAAACTTATTATATTCTTATCAAACGATCTCACACTGAATTTTTTGTTTCAGATGATGTTCCGTACATCTGGACTGCCGGTCGATTATGCGACTTCAAAGGATGCGAAAACCGTCCTGATCTCGAACCTAAGAACATCTTCGGATGGTTCTGGTCCAACAACAGAGAAAAGATCCAACCCACCAACAGAACTCCCAACGGCTGGAGTTACAACCCATGGTCCCAAACCGGACACAAGAAACAACGTCAACCAGACAATGCTGAATTCGATATCAACAGAACATCAGAATCTTGTTTGTCCATCTTGAACAACGTTTACAACGATGGCATCGCATGGCATGATGTAGCTTGCTACCACGAGAAGCCTTTTGTTTGCGAAGACTCCGATGAATTGTTGAACTACGTGTCATCCACGAATCGTGGACTTCGTTTGTAAATTTTGTCTTTTCCTTAAGATTGTTATAGTTTTCAAGATTTTAATCAAAAATAGTGAATCAAAATTTAAAATGATAATGCAAGAGATATCTGCAAAGAGAGATGTATATTTAATATGAGATTGTTAGTATATTTATAATTGTCGATCATTCCATATTTTATTTAAATTTATAACATTTGGTATTCTAAAAGATTTAGATATTGAATTGAGTGCCGTCATCAAAACATAAAATTTAGATCTGGTCAAAAACTACAAAATTGTGAAATTAAAATAAAAGTAGTTAATTATTTGTACGAAGAAATTATTTCAAACTAACCTAGGGTACTTTTTTTTCTTCTTGATACGTGTAAATTGCTCTCACAGGAACAAGTATGTTGACTAAGACAAAATTCACTACATAAAAGGGTAGCGATTAGCTTGTTTAAGTTAATGGAATAAACAAAAATGAATGTCTCAATAAACTCTAAAATCACAACAGTAAGAGTTTAACTAAAAAGCAAGAAAATTAAAAGTAGATGACCAATACAAGACATGAAATAAAAAGCCAAAAACAAGGATAGAGTCAACATTTAGACAAAATAAGAGAATTTTTTTGTTCTGTACATTTTACTAGATATTTATTAATTGCGAATGGTGGTACACTTCCAGTTATTATTACTCTTTTGACGCTTGTTTTCCATTTTTTGTCTCTGAGTTGCACGTGTTTACTCGGTTTAATAAAGTGGAACCTTGGTGGCACACAATTTCTTTTGCTCTCCTTTTTTGTCTGGACCACTAGCGTACCCATATTATCGGCGGAGATAATAAATGACAAAAGTAATTTAATATCTTTGTAAATATTAAGCTTAAGAGACGCCTTGGATTGTTAACCTCCTCAAGAACTGATGTATTTGACTGTCCGTATTCAAACGGCTTATACTTGTCGTATTGACGCTGTAAGCAGGACAATTCTATTAGTTGTTACTCTTCATCTGTTGAAAGTGTAGAAGGTGTAGCCGATTTAAAAGGACTTCTAACCAAGTTATATTCCTTCAGATTAATTATAGCAAGTGCTTTATTAGCGATTAAGCATTATTTTTAAAGAGGAATCAAGGATTTTTCTTGTAAAATACCTCGTAAAGCAGAGAAACAGTTAATTCCTTGATCTTCAAATGTTATCTTCTATAAGAGCAACTTGGAGCATTGATTTTGATGAGAGTCTGTAGTCATCCATACTGTCCAGACATAAATCAGTGATCCTCCATACACACACTCACACAGTTTTTCCAATTAATATTATTTTCGGTCGTATATGAATTAAAATCTCAAATAAATTTCACATATTTCACTTTCACATATTTTTCTGTAAAATAACAAATCCTCACTTTCATTTGTACCGTACGTAACGAATTGAGCCATGCTTTGGTAAGAGCTGATGCTCTCGATACCAAAGCTGTGGACTGATGTTACAAAATGCAAAAAGCAATTTTCTTGCAAAGAAGTATCTCGATTGAGCTTGTAAATGACTGCTAGTCGCTTTCAAATGCCGTTTTAGATTATTACGAAACAGACTTTCAGTTCTCAGTTTGGGAAACTCTGTCCTATTTTATATCTCAAATACATCATAAGAATATTGAGATAAACAATGACAGTATTTTGGAGAGGTTTGACATTGCTGTTCTGCCATCTGAATACGTAGTAGAATTTTTTGTTCACAGTTCACTACCCAGAATTATTTTACTACATACTATATGCTTTGAAAATACACACCAAATAATAAAAACTTTGATTAGTTACATCATTAAATTATAAATTATTTGATCAAACTAGCATCGAAATGTAATGGTCTCTGTTATATTACGGATAAATAATTAAATAGTTCTTCAATACTACTATTTATGTGAATTTTATGTAGAATATTGTATACACGAGAGGAATTGTCAGCGAAAACCATTGAAAAATTACCAGAAATTTACCTGACCAGTAAAAAGTACAAATTTATTATTTTAGGAAAATATAAAAACAAAACCATCTAAATATGCTTGTAGATGATTAACAGTTACATGCCAAAATATATGAAGGTTTTGTGAACTTAACCAGAAGGCAAAACAGTGCTTTCGCTTCAAATAGTGTAATTTGTATCTTATATTTAACTTATACTTACTTCTACTCAATAATATTTGATATTTATACTTAGAACCCAAAGTTTACTAATGCTTTATACCAAGTTTAGTGTTTCTTCTACTAGTCTTCATTGTCTTAATAAAAGAAATTTGTGATTCTTTGATTGAATATGTATATAAGTGTTACCGTCTATATTGTGAGCATTTTGTTTGTCATAAATAATGAAATGTAACGAATTTGTGTTTATTAACTGTCAAGTTTGTAGCCTTTTTACATAATGTCACTAAAACAAATTTTCATCACGCTTTTAACAGCTTTAATAAAAAAAATTAAATTATGTACAAACTTCTACATCTAGTTTAGTGAGGAAACTATTTGTAATGCAATTTACAATCATCTTATAAAAAAATCAATCTTAATTTGTTGAATCTTGAAAACTATAACAAATAAAAAAATCTTTGTACTTAAAAATTTTATTTACTCATTCTCTTGTATCATCATAAGAAATTAATGATTAATTAGAACGTCGTAATATGTCTCGTAAATCACTTCCTCTTCTTTATGATCAAGATTAATGTTTTCTTATTTTGCGCAAGAAGGAAATATACCAATATAAATTGTTGGCCGTTAAACGTTTATTTTATCGTTATGTCCTCACATGAAATGCAATCTATCTGTTTAATTTCTTTTCTGTCTTTATATCATAAAAACTGTAAAATATTTGTATATTTATTTTTGTAATAGTTTACTTTAAATTTATTTTTAAAGGTATTAGTAATAGGGTTGAACTTACGCAAAATTGGTTAGTAACGGTATCCAAATTTTTCCTGTTTAGTTGAGTAAATAAATGTAAATATCTGTTATGTGTATATTTATAAAACACATTGGTAATATGTACAAGAACAGTAATTTTCACGAGTGACCGTATACTTTATATAGTTTTATGTGAAAAATTGCTCATGATAAAAAAGTTTTTATGCATATTTAGCTATTTAGTTAATAGTTCTTACTCCAAATTTTAATGTACGTTTAAATTAATTGTGTGATCAAATCAACTCTATTAAATACCTTAATAATAAAAGTTATTAACTTTACATTTGTTTTACTTACATTGATACATTGTCTCTTTTTTCTACTAAAGGCCCGTTCACACATGGGAGTCCGTTTTACTGGTTTCTTTTTAACGGATACGTCATAAATTTGTGCTCTGTACATATAGGCACCGTATAACGTTCAACGGATCCGTCATTACTGGATGCGATGTGAACAGAAAACTCGCAGTGTATATACGCCGCTATTCTACAAGAAAGGACGCTGTCATGTTTTCGACGTGATTGGCAGCATCCACTTATGGCAAAAAGATCTAGAGAGGGTCCTTACAGTTGACTTATGAGTCACTTACGAGGTGATGAATCGAAATTTTACAATTACATACTTTCGTATGTCAATGTCTACTTTAGAGTTCTTAAACTATTGGAAAAGAATTTAAAAAAGCAAGATACTCGATGGAGGAAAAGTATCTGCCCAGAAGAAAAATTAGCGATATTTTTAAGGTACTTTTATTTTTAAAACTCAGACATATCTACTAACGTAGCATCACTGTATACAGATTGCACTGGCGATAGTGCACAATCAGTAGACTGTGATCTGCTAGCATCACCGTATACAGATTGTACTAGCGATAGTGCACTATTAGTAGGCTATGGTCTGTTAAAATAGCCCTGGGATTGATAGTGACTAGCACCAGATGTTAGTGTATTGACTGACCAACTCTTCTATGTTTAATATTTTGTAGTAGGTTTATCACCCCTGATTGGAATTTCAAAGTTTGGCCATCATCAAGCAAAGCAAAGCATGACAAAATACCTTTGAAGAACGATAAATTGCGATCATCCTGCTCAATTTTCTTTTATCTGATAGCCAATGTAGGACATCATTTTGAAATAAATTTCATTAAAATTTCTTTTGGCTGGTGCTCTGCGTTTTGGCAGTGGAGCTAGATGTTGTTTGTCCTTTTGACTGTCATTGCCAAGTTGTGTCATTGTAGTCACACTGTTCATCTTCGGTGTATTCTTCAGTTTGTTTAGCAGAGACGCTTTCGTGCGCTTCACCAGCAGCAACTACTTTTTCAAAAACAGCATCTGATTATGGTATTTGTAGGGCTTCGTGTTTGAGACAGCGGAACCAGACGTCTTGCAATTCTTTTTATCTTTTAGTGTTCTCACCCAAGCATCTCTTATCCGTCTCCACTTTCCCATAACAAGTTTTCCTAAAACAAGTATAAAACAATTTTATTTTCAAGTATGCAGCATCCGGGTATTCATTTAAAGATCTTCATTACACCTATCGCATTGGTGTATTATTAAAGACGTTTCAAGACGCAAATGGAACAATTTAAGTGAAAAATTTATGCAGCTTCCTACATCAGTCGACGAATGGGAACAGATAGCAAGTGGATTTAACAAAAAAGCTAATTTTCCCCACTGTCTCGGAACTGTCGACAGAAAACATATCCGACTTAAAAAACCACTAAATAGCGGTTCACTGTATATCAATTGTAAGGATTTTTTTCATCATATTATTAGCGACTTGAGAGGGACTATCGCTTTGTATACGTCAGATCTATACGGATCTTATGGAAAAGAATGCGATTCACCAATATTCAAGGAGATAACATTTTGGAAAATGATGCTAGATGGCAGTCTACAAACACCACCACCATGCCCATTAACAAGAGATTCAGAAACGAGAGTTCCTTATGTGGTTATTGGAGACGAAAGTTTCGGATTACACAGAAATTTATTAAGACTGTTTGGCGGGATGAATCTGAACGAAAATAAGCTAAGATTCAACTATCGTTTGACTAGAGCTAGGAGATACGTTGAATGTGGCTTCGGTATCTTAGCTAATAAGTGGAGAATATGCCATCGGCCTCTAGACATCGATAAAACAACAGTTGTATGGACTGTTAAGGCATGTATTATTCTACACAACTTTATAAGAGACAATAAGGGCTCAAGCAGTGATAATAACGTGTCTGAAGAATTTAGTTACGAAAACCTAACCCATGAAGTAAGAACACGAGGTGGTAATACTGCCAATTTAGTTCGAACAGAATTCGTGAACTATTTCATGTCCGAAGCGAGATCAGTTCCATGGTAGGATGAAGCTATTTAGAATGTAACTAAATAATAAATCAGACTCTTATAACTGTTGTCTTTGTCATTGTACCATAGCCTCAAAATCCTCCATTAAACTAACGCATATTTCGCGCCAACATTTCCTTATCTAATAATTTTTCCCACTCCTTGGTTGACATGGTTGATCTGTGATTATAATAATTTGATATAAGGTTGAATGCTCGAATAAATGAACTTTGATAAAATGATAGGCAGATATCGAGCACAGTTTTATTAATTAAATATTGCCCCAGGTACTTTCGCTTTCTAGAGCATCTGCACCTGAAGATGCTCTAGGAAGCGAAAGCATCTGTCGCATCACTCCCTTTCCTACACCACGCACACCGCTCGCCACGGACGCTGTATCTATCCGTTAAAATTCTACCTGTCCATATATTTTTTTTAACTGTTCCGTCGTCCAGTATTCGGTGACAAAACGGAATGTCATTTTTTAAAACGGAACGATATTTTTAACTGTATACGGAATACTGTGCCATGTGTGAAGTCGCTCATATAACTACATACGCCATCGACGAAAAAATCACATACACGATAAAACGGAGACATGTGTGAACGGGCCGTAAGGGTGGAAATTTTCTAAAAACCGTACCATGTTGGCTCATCCCTAAGAATGACTGGCGTGTGTTGGATTCAGGGTAGAGGATACCCGAGCCCATTTCCTAGAAGGAGGTCCTGCAAACGGATATCTTCCTGTTATCCTGCCTACCAACTAAAACCATCCTCCCCTAGCTGACACTTTCAGAGCACTCCCCTCTCTAATAGATCTTACCTCTGTTGTTGGTCCAGCTACTGCTTCTCTTCTTCTTGTTTCTTCTTAATTACTGCACGGATGTAATTGTGTACATTTTTCCTTCCCTCCCCACTTCATGTCACCTTTGTTTTTATCTCTTTTATAGTCACAGGGTTTATAATTATTTTTCTATTCATTCGGGTTCTCTCCACGGTCCATCTATTACACTCCAGCATTGTGTAACAGTGTCGAATTCAGCGCCGGTTTAACCAAAAAAATATTTTATAAAAAACTGGTTAAGGGAGAAGAGGTTCGCAGCGATTGGGCAATTTACTCCAAGGTATACTTACCACCATATAATATGAGGATTGCCTCTTCCGCCTAACCAATGAACATTAAGCCCGAAATTGTACTCTCGTGACGTAATTTGAATTGTAACGTTCAGCCCTGTCCCTGTGATGTATCAAAAATGTTATGAATAACATGCACGTTAAGCTGCATTTAAGTTAAATTCTAAGAATTGATGTGATGTATCACAGATAACGTTTCTCAAAAACGTTATCTGGTAACGTTTTACGTTATCATGCTAACATAACAGGTTCAATTTAACGAAACGATTTAACCCCATGCTATTTGTAGAGCGGGATAACGTGTAGTTAATAAAAATATAAAATGAACAATTTAGTCCAGATTTTGACCGGATTCTAAACGATGAGTTATTAGAAGAATTAGATTCTGATGATGCTATTAGAAGGTTTGTTAAAGTTATTTTTAATTATAGTATATTATTTATTTAAGTTAGGTATGTTTTTGTAAAAAAAACTATTTTATTTGTAGGGATGAAGAAAACATTCAAAGATTTAAGAAACAATAAATAATCAAGTAAATAATAAACTGAAAGATAATTACCACGAACAAAATGTGATAATAAATGGGTTTTGTATTCTTGTGTAGTCGGAAGAGGCAACCGTAGTAAGTCTACGCATGATACCTACTATGACCAGTGATATGTAAGAGAGTTGAGAGAGAAGTATGTCTCTTACATATCTCTGACTATGACTAAGAAGATAAGATATTCCGCATAAGTCGTGACGTCATTGGAGAGTTACACGTTCGAAATGTCAGTTTTTTGTATGTATCAATAAATAATATTTAATAAATAGTTTGGAGATATCCTTATGTGTACGATTATTGTAATTATTAAACCTTTTAACTTATTTTCGTCTAGTAATTTCATCACAGAATGCATACAAATCCCATTTAACTTTAACAAGAATTCAAATTCTACTCTCCAATGACGGCATGCGCAAACACGACCGATTTTGTGCTACTGGAAGATCCTATCCTCTAAAAGAATCGGTGTATTATTGTATTATCAATGCCAACATAAGAATAAACAAAAAAGTATTTTCATCTATGGTTCCATCAATACGATTTTCACCATTACTTTGCGTTGTGCGATGTATTTGCAACCTTTTGTAAATCAAAAATAATTACACCATTTAGAATGTCAACAAAAGCCGGCCCTGCATGTAATTATTTTTTCAGTGCAATATTTCATATTTATTGAAAGTCAACATAAATGCTCAATTGTATTTAAGAATTTATATTGTGTGATATGCCCACTGACTATTAGTAAGCTGGTTGCTTTCCTGTCATTTTCACTCGTTGGCGGCTTGCCCACGCAAGATCAAAGGAGTGTCGCTACTATATTATTTATCTATGGTGTCGCTTCTCTGAGTTCGTAGTTCTCTGGTGAAGTGTTGTTCGGTGTTGAAGTGAAGTCATAAGTGAAGTAGTATCAGAGAACATGCGTTCGTAGTTCTCTGGTAGTATCATGGATAAGAAGAAGAAGAATACAAATGATGTCACTTTTCACTTTGTATAAATCAAAATCAAATCATCTACTATTTTATATTATTTATTATATTTATCTATATATGAAATCGTGACGTGCAACCGTGCAAGTGTTTTACCGTTTTTGAAAATGGTATAGAAGCTTGTTATGTATCTACGTGCTTGTATATCGCTAAAGAATTCTTTATTAGCAATATACTGTTCCTGTACCTGTCCTCTACGTGCACATTGCATATAGCTAATTGCCTAGTTCTAGCTGTGAAAGTAGATGCCTTCAATTTGTTGATTTCCATTTGCTATTGTAAATTCGTTTATTAGCTATGGAAGTTAAGGTTGAAGTTAAAAAAGAGGTTCCTGAATATTCTCTATCGACATCAGTAGGTCTTGAAGACTTAAAAAATGAACCAGAGGATGGTTATGGTCATCCAGGTGAGATGAGAAGTAATAAAAATAAATAATAAACAATGTGAGATAATCATGTACTTAATTTATGAGCGTGAGCGTTTTTCAATTTTCATTAAATTTATTAGCTTTGGAAGTTAAAGTTGAAAAGGAGAAAGAGTTTGCAGATGACCAAAAATATATAGAGAATCATCTATCCACATCAGTGGATCTTCAAGACTTAAAAGATGAACCAGAGGAAAATCAACCAGGTGAGGCATGAAGTCAAATAAATAAACATTATGCAAATTAATAATGCTGGGTTTTTCATATTTGTGGTAATGACTAGAATACATCAATACTTCCATTTTCATAAAGTTTATGATTGATCCTACCTTTGTTTCTGCAACCTGAAAATCCATGAATGCATAGTGAATATGTGCATTGTATTCAGTGTATTTTTCTATTTAAATCCGCATTTTCTGTTAAAATCCCCCTGCTTAACTAATAAATGCACAGCTTTGGTGTTAAGTCAGTTTGTTATCATTTTTGTGAATAACTTCCATAAATGAGATAAAGTATTATCAGATATTATTTTCTTGTATGTATGAAGGCACATCTTGTACATTTGAATGTTTTCTTACATGGATATCAGTAATAAAATCATAATAATTCTGTTCAGCCTCTAACTAATAGCATTTGAGTTTGATGTGATTGCCTTTTTGAAAAATTTATTCTTTTCATTCTCAACAAATTTAGAAACTGTGGATTTATACTGTTTTGTCAGTTTTTTGTCTGTTAATTAAAAGGACTTCTTCAATATTGGTGCAATGAACATAACCTCGTTGATATGTTTGACGTTAAATGTAAAATGTAAGCTTAATATACGTCAGTGTTGCCATATACTCAAATATTTCCCACTCTCACATATAAAATTATTGGTAAGATTTATATTATATGAAATGAAAATGTAAAATTGAAAAATACATATATAATTAAACAAAAATGTGAAAAATATATATGGTAATTATTTACTAAGCCGGAACGCCTTAAAAATGCCCAATTTTTTGTGAACTTAGCCGAAAAAGTGAAAACAACCTCAAATTTTAATGTTTTCTTTGCTTTAAACTAGGGTAAGCTACCCAGTTGCCGGCAGGTAACCAGTTATTGGCATCAGTCCAATTATTTGTGATTTATAAGAATTTCTGCAATATTGAAGCCATAGCGTGTCCATTAGATAATAGATGGCACCATCCGATTTTTTATAGCGCCAAATTATCTGAATAATATTGTCAGTTGACAGTGTAACAGAGACCAGCAGTTGAGTGACCGTTGGATGTGTGTGTAATTACAGAATTTCTTTAGAAACTGAACCATTATAAGGTATGATAAAAATTGATTATATTATTTTTGTATTCTTTAGTTAATGAATATGTATGATTTAAGTATTATATTAGCTATTGCAACATAAATATTAAATATTATATCTGTAAAACACAAAATTTTGATAGTGCCGGTTACTGGGTTTTAAAATTTGTCTATATCTAGTGATTGGCATCCATGCCAATCTTTGGTCTGAAGTAAATTTTAATTATGCTAGTAATTGGCAATTAGCTTAATTTTGCAAAAATAGTTTTTCGATTTTGAAAAGTAGAAATCAGTACGCTAATAAATAATATTACAATTTATCAGGCTATATTCTATACAATATAGGAATTTATTTTTAACAAAAAATATGTTTTCAGCTTTTTGAAAAACATTTTAGAGAATTTTTCTTTTCTCTTGTAGATTATTCGACAATGCCCAAGGTAAAGGCAAATAGTAAATATGTTAAATCATATGATGAAACTATATTGCAAAACGCTTTAGAAGCCATTAATAATGGAATGTCTACAAAGCAAGCGGCCGAAAAGTTTAATATACCAAGACAAACTTTGCAGTATCGTCTGAGCAATAAATTTAAAAAGCCAGGACATGGACCAACTTCTTACCTGACCTCAGAAGAAGAAAATATTTTGACAGAGTGGATTCTAGAAAGTCATAAAAAAGGTTTTCCTCGTAGGCGAGAAGATATCCAGAACGCTGTAAAATCATTTTTAGACAAGAATCCCAGGCAAACTCCTTTTCAGAATAACATTCCTGGAAATCACTGGTATCAGTCTTTTATGAAAAGGCATCCTTGTTTAGTATCTCGTGTTCCTGAAGCAGTTACTAGTGCCAGCGCAAATGTATCAGAATTTGACATAAGGAAGTGGTTTTCGAATATAGAGTCTTATCTAAAAGAAAAATCATATTTCGAAATACTAACCGACCCATCAAGAATATTTAATGCAGATGAGACGTGCTTCTTATTTTGTCCAAAGGCAGACAAAGTTATTGCACCTCGAGGAACAAAAAATGTTTACCAAGTAGACCAAGGAGCTGCAAAAGCAAATTTAACCGTTTTATTTACTTTTTCAGCTTCTGGTTCAATAATTCCACCTATGATTATTTATCCATATAAAAGGCTACCAAGTAGTATAGTCAGTAGCGTTCCAGAAGATTGGGGAATCGGTGTTAGTGATAATGGCTGGATTAAGGCCGAACTTTTCTATGAGTATGTGTCTAATATTTTTAATAAGTTTTTGACCCAAAACAATATTAAAAAACCTATTATTCTATTTGTTGATGGGCACAAAACTCATCTCACTTATGAATTGAGTCAGCTGTGTACCAATCTACAAATTATTCTTATTTCGTTGTATCCTAACTCAACAAGGATTTTACAGCCTGCCGACGTATCATGTTTTAAACCATTAAAGAATAGTTGGAAGAAGGCTATTTTAGAATGGCGAAAAGAAAAACCATTTGTACAATTAACAAAACAAGAGTTTGCGCCTATTTTACAAGAGGCTATAAAGAAATTAAAAACTTCCACAATTTCTAGTGGATTCAAAGCATGCGGCCTTTTTCCATGGAATAGTAATGCAATTGATTTTACAAAGTGTTTAGGAAAACAACAAAAGACCGAAAAACAGACTTCAACGCTTAAAAAGGAGTGTGATTTATCTTATGCGGATTTTTGCGAAATAGTAGGTTCAAAAAAACTGCAAGAATTAGAAGGTTATACTGATGCAACAACTGATGAACATTTTCAACTACTCCTAAAAATATGGAAACAATTTCAAATTACGAACACGGAAGAAAATAATTTGGATTCCGAAAACAATTTGGATTTTGTTGCTGATACCTCTATGATTACTATAGAGGAAATTGATTTACCCGGCGTTCCAATATTTGACGATAATATTTTAATACCTCAGATCACAGACGAAATTGATATAGCGAGTACACCAATAATGATGGATGAAGATATTGCTATTCCTGGAACTTCAGCTCAAGCTTACCCATGTGAAAGTTTACTTGATTGTAGTAATTTTGACGATATTTCTGATACAAATGAGACTGATTTTGTAGTAGAGCCTTCTAATAAGAATAATAATGATCAACCACAAAACTCAATCAACAATGAATCACAATCAACCAAAACTCCCACAGGGGATCAACCAAACTGTGTGTCGAATACTAGCTCGAGCATAGAATTTAAAGATTATTTGATGTGGCCTAAAACTCTTGAAAGAAAAGGTAAGCTTCAGACTGAAAGACTTCCTTTTGTAATCACATCAAGTGGTTGGAAAAAAATTTATGAAGAAAAGCAGAGGGATAAGACAGAAAAAGAATTGAAAAATAAAGAAAATAAAATAAAGAAAGAAGAAAATAAATTAAAAAAAGAAGAAAATAAGTTAAGAAAAGAACACGATAAAATGAAAAAAATTGCGAATAAACCCAAACATATCAGAAATATTTTAAAGGAAGCAGCAAATAATAACCATTTAATACCAACACAAACTTCATTCAGTTCATTGCCAACAAATAATAAAATTTTAAATAAAGGAATATGCTTTAGTTGTACAAAAAATTTTTCATTAATTAATTTTGGAATACAGTGTCAAAAATGTTCCAGAAGTTACCATTGTGGTTGCCTAAAAAAAGCTAAGACATATAAAGACTTTTATGTTTGTAAAGTGTGTACCACACGTGGCTTGGCATCTTAAGTTGTCATCTTATGTTTTTACATTTTATATTTATGTTTCTCATTTTTGTACGTGTTTGGCTCATTTTTATTTCTCTCTTTTGTATTTAATAAAAAGTTATATTAAGATTTATTATTTTTTAAACAATATACCTACCTACCTAGGCTACCTACCCACTAAACCGTAAGGACATGCTTATCTGAATTTAGGTGCCAATAACTGGATTCCTTGGTATGCCAATCACTAGACTCAAGTGCCAATAACTGGTGAAATAGACCTTTTCTTAAAAAACAATTAATAAAAAATAATTCAGATGGTATTTAAATAAAAGGACGCCAGTATTATAATCTAAAAATATTACTAAATCTGAATGTGAAAATACAACTAACAATGTTTTGAATACTGTTTTTAAAATACAGTTACATTAAATTTTTTTGCTTAAAGTGCCAATAACTGGGTACTTTACCCTATTAAAAGTGCCCAAATAATCAAAAAATCAGAAAAAATACAAAAAAAAGTATTATGAACCAAAAAAAAATTACATAAAAAGCAAAGAAAAGTATATATAAATGTCTTAATAAAAAAAACGTAACTAAAACATATTAAATATCACTATTTTTTACTGTAAAATTATGAAAAAAATGCGTAAAATTGTTTAAAATAATCAAGATTTTTAATATTTCAAAACAATATGGCGGCCATGCGCAAGAAGTTAAATTTTATGTACTTTTGACATTGTTGCCAGTTTTTAACATTTAAAATACCTAAAATTTAATGAAAATTACATTTAAATTTTAATATTAAAAATGCAAACCAATAAACCAAATCTAACCCAACAAGAAAACATGACAATAAAACTAAACCAACCTAACCTAACCTAACGCTCGTAAAAAAGCAGTAATAAGAATAAAATTTTGTAATATAATCAGGGCCGGATTAAGGCACGGGCCAACTGGGCCGCGGCCCAGGGCGGCAAAATTTTGGGGCGGCGGATTTGAGAAAAAAAAAGTGTAATTATTTTTGATTGATTATAAAGCTTTATTATCGATTATCAAGACCAGTGAACCTGAGCATTAAATATTAAAAAACTATTTTATTGTTTATTATTTATTTATAACGCGACACTCTGCGCGGTGTAATGTGTCGCAGTACACTACGCTACGCCACTCTATCCAAGTGAGTCGAAGGGGCGAGGCGGC